CCTGACTACAAAAGCATAAATTATAGCAATTCTGCATTTAATGAAATGCTGCATTATTAATAACACTCACTATTATATTGCCTCGTTAATACGACAACATGATACTTAGAGTTGAGGAATTACATTATACTAAACAGGTGTTCATATTATCAGTACACAAACAAGGAAATCGTGATGCAGTCGAAGTTAAAGCAATAGTGAGATAAGATGTAGATAATAAAGGTGTATATAAGCTTCGTAACAAGACAGCGTAGGCACTCGAGTTAGAGCACCAAAACCAACCATGAAGCTTCTAGTTCTGCTAGCCGTCGTCTGCGCAGCCAGCGCCCATGCCCCGAGGTGGCCACGACTTCCCAAAGGTATGTCTCGTGTTATAACTACAGTTAGTTTGTGGCTCTAACCGTTACTAAACTCATGAGTTTTCATTGCCTAGCTCATAGCTTAATAATAAACAAACGTTTCAAAGATTCCGAAAGCAATGTGACTCTCTGTTTTAGGATGGGCTCCCCCGGACACGAAGATTGTTGGCGGCGATGATGTGATTATTGAGGATTACCCATACCAGGTACTAGAGCCAAGTTCTTCTTGCTATGCCGCACAAAAACTATATAATACATACTTTAATTCCAGTTGATATACGTAAGCTATTCACTTGTTTCAAATGCGTTTTGTCATACGACTGTGTACGGCCAAGCTGGCGCCCTATAGTTAATAATAGTCTCCTTTCTGATAAATGACAAGTATAGAATAAAACATTATAAAGAAACTATTAGTCTGATATTTGAATCGTATTTTCAGGTTGCTATGTACTTTTCTGGATCCTTTAGATGTGGAGGCTCCATTATTGGCCCAAACACCATTCTGACTGCTGCTCACTGCGTCTCTGGGCGAGTTTTGTTTATTGCGTCTGTTCCATGTTCTAATATTCACGCACACGCACATTCACCCAACCGCTAGAAGATTTGAAGTCCATCATATTAATTTTGTCATGATTAATTAGTTTTCGATATATCGCTGAATTTCTACGGTTGGCCTAATTCAAAAATATTATTTGCCAAACCATTGAATATATATAATCATTCTTTTCAAATAGATGTCCTTGACTCACGCAGTTGCTTGGACATAAAAAATATATCTCGCTGTCTCACTTTTAATGATTCCTCCGCTGATAGTGACTCCAATTAATATTAAACCTCTACCTAGAAGTCGATTAAAAAATGTGTTCATGCGTGACATTTATCAAATATGAAATAAAGTCTATAAAGCTTGGACTCTTGAATTTCTGAAACGTAACGCGTAGCTGCGTAGGTAACGCTAAGGCATCTCTATCAAAAACCCCCTGCCATTAGCAAATTTTACTTGAGAGTTGACTGCGCCGAAATCTCTGATCATACATAGTAACTGCACGCAAAAAACGTCTTTGCTGCAATCGCACTTCTTAAAAATACAAAACCATACTACTCGCCGTAAGCTGAGCTGTCCAATCTTTTTAAATAAATTTAAGTTAAAAAGTTTTCATGAAGATATACTTATATACTTGTACCATAGCTACATATCACTGTAATAATTTTATGGTGGCTTATACTCATTCGAGATCCGTCGAAGAGTAGTTAAGAGTGTTCATTAATGCCTAGAATCTGCTAATGCATGTTTATTTGACGAGAAATTTTCTATTATTATTTAAGAAGAAACCTGCACACTTGACCACTATCACAATTGTTACTTATACGACTTCATTTTCCGACGCTAACTATCCTTGCTAGGTTGTTGAAATGATAGACTGTCTATTCCCTCTAAACTCAACATTCTATCTTGGCCACGCTGGTTAGGTTTGGCGAACCTAATCGTATCTTTCATTCTAGTTTATCTATCTATTTGTCTCTCCTATAGTAATTTCGAGATAATATAATCTCTTACGTTAGCTGAACAGTCTGGTCACATTCTCACGGCGTTCTGCATCCAAATAATAAAGCCTGGACCCACACATCACCGTAGTTTTTTCTGCGCGTTAGCGAGATATCAGCCCACGTTAGACCGCTAAATGTCTTGACCAAACTTTAAACGATGGTGACTACAAAAGCACTAAACATAGCACTCTGCATTTAATGAAATTTTGCATTATTCAATAACACTCACTATTATACGCCTCGTTAATACGACAACATGAATACCTATGTGAAATATTAAGACATATGCTAACTGCGGCTTTGTCATAGCGACTGTGTACGTCCAACTGACGCTCTCTTGTTAAAAATATGTATCGTCTGATAAATAACAAGAGTAAATAAAGCATTATGTTGAAAATTAAAGTCTGATATTCCACATCTTATTTTCAGATTGCATGTACTTCGCTGGATTCTTAGATGTGGAGGCTCCATTATCGCCCAAACACCATTCTGACTGTCTTGCGCAGCTGCCGTCTCTGCGAGTGTTGTTTAAATTGCATACGTCCATGTTCTTATATTACACGCAGACGCAACATATCACGCAACCCTAGAAAATTGAAGTCAAATCATATTTGCATGAATTAATTTAGTTTTCGATATATCGCTGAATATTCTACGGTTGGCTTAATTACAAATATTAATTTGCTAAACCATTGAATAGATATGCCGATTTTATTGATTGGGGACTCGATGAATTGGCAATGGCAGAACTAGGGGGGGGGCGGGGGAGGGGGCCCAGTTACTCTTCTCTATTCAAATATGGTGTCCAGCCGATATTACAAGTAATGGAAAACGGCAGGATAAGTAATGAACCATACGTTGGGTACCAGTGTATAATATATCGCTGCAGATGCTGTGATTTCCGTTTCATAGTTTGGCCATGGTTTATAATCGGATGCAATCTGCTCTGAACACAGAGTGCTCTGTGTTGAGCAGCAACGTCTACTTCAGAACTAAGCATGAAAACCCACGACTATTTCCCTCATAATAATATAATGCAATAAGCAAACGTTAATTTTTTAATGTCGTAAATATTATATCTATCCAAATCCTTTGATTTTATTGAAAACGGGAGGTACTATATAGGATTACTTATATAAATTAATATAAATAGGTAGGCAAGGCATTTCTGTCACATCTATATGCTAGCTCGCTTGTCCAATCTTTATTAAAATGAGTAAGTCAACGTTTATCATGACAGATTATACTTATATACTGTAGACATAGCTACATAATCACTGTAATAATTCACTGATACTATATACTCATTCAAGACGTCCGAGGAGCAGTAGACGAGTGTTTAATTAATGCATAAGAATCTGAAATTGCATGTTATTTTGTCGAGATCTATTTTATTTAGAAGGAACCTGAACACTTGACAACTATCAAGATTGTTACCTATAGACGTTATTTCACGACGTAACTATCCTTGCTAAGTGTCTTGAAATGATATACTGTACTACCTCTAACTCAACATTCATCTTGCCCACCTGGTTAGGTTTGCCGACCTATCTATACCTTCCATTCTAGTCAATCTATGTATTTTGTCTCTCCATAATAGTGTTCCGAGAGATATAACTCTTGCCGCTTAGCTGACCATCTGGTCACATTCTCACGCGTTCTGTCATCCAATTAATAAAGCCTGGACACACATATCGATTTTTTGTACTGCCGCGTTTAGACAACTTATCAGCCGCGTATGACTCCATAAAAGTATTGTCAAACTTTAAACGAATGTGACTACGCAGGGCCGTACAAGAATTAATGTATGGGGGGGCGCAATATGAACGAGCGCGAGGCGCTGCGCTTCTAGGGGTCTGTGGGCATGCCCCCCGCAAAAAAACTTTGGAAAATATAGAAAGCTCTCGAATGCCATTTCCACCATATTCAGGTAGGAGACATACTAAAACTCCCCCACACGGTTACGCGAGTATATCCTTAAATCTTTAATTCCATTTTTCTTCACTGGGTTCTTTTTTGGCGAGCAGCTTGCCCCCCCTGCCCCCCCCCCCCCCCTGCTAGCTACGACCGACTCAAACAGCCTATGCTTAGAGAAGATACACGATGGCGCGTACATTTACCATTTGGATGATTTGCATAGACACGTTCCCACGCCAGCATGTCGTCGGTACAACGATCCTAGTTCACAAATAGACGTCAAAGATTGCTTTGCTAGATACAATTTTGTGCCATTTTAGCGTAATCTCCAAAACTTCAACTATCTAATATTCATTCGGATGCTACATTTTGTTCGTATTAACTTCCTGTTCTTGGAGGGGTCAGAAACCTCGCTTGTGTGGCTCTTTAACACCGAACCGATTTACATACTTAAAATGTAGGAAATATGTATCAACCAAGATGTCAGTTTAGATATGCATATAGATCTGATTAAAAAAAATAAAAGCTACGTCACTATAATTCGACAGCAAATGCATGGATGGATGGATGGATGGATGGATGGACGGACGGATGGATGGACGAATGGACGGATAGACGGACGGACGGACGGATAGACGGACGAACGGACGGACGGGCGGATGGACGAACGGGCGGATGGACGAACAAACGGACTGTACACACATCACATTTCGACGGATATCACCAGAACTACAATATATATTGCTCTACACTTTATCGTCGTTGACATTGGGGCTTCCGATGTATTAACTAGTATTACATTCAAATTAGTAAAGTATACTAATGGTTTTTCTGCGATGTGTCGCCGACGTCGTATATATATGATACAATAAATAGCTATTGATGTTTGCATTCATTGGCATCTGGGATGTATGTGTTTCGGGCAATGCTAATAATCCTGTACAACCGCAGGATACTTGTCGTGCGTGCCCAGTATGTGCGACATAAAATGATGTTCTGATGAAATTATTAATATAAAATATAGAGCGCATACTCGTCGCAGTAGCTTGACTCAAAATATAAATCCTGCTGCCTCACTTTATTGATTCCAAGATACAGCTGTGCGACGTATAGCGATAAGCGTTCTACGTTACCCGTGCAGCTGTGAGTTTGGTTGTTTTACAATATATAAAATAACAATTTTCTTTAGTTTCACGTCGAATTTAGCGAGCGTATACATCTCAGTAGCTTGACATGAAACATCTTCGCATCTCCACATCTCCGCATCTCCGCATCTCCGCATCTCCGCATCTAGGCATCTAGGCAGACGGAATTCCCCTCTATCACAATAGAAGACCTCTGGTAGCGCATGCAAGGTATCAGCTAAAATAAACAGTATTTTGTGAAATATACTTTTTAAATAGAGTCCTTGACTCACCGCAGTTGCTTGACATAAAAAATATATCTCGCTGTCTCACTTTTAAGATCCTCAGGTGTCCCCGGCGGATGTGACTTAATTAAATTAAAATTAATTAAAATTAAAATTAAATTAATTTAAGTGTGTTTATGACAAACATATGACTATATAAGTATGACTTAGCTGACGCATATCGTTATTAATAGTCTCGTTTCTGATAAAAATAAATAGAAATGGAATAATAGAAAAAATCATTATAATTAGCATCAATTAATTAGTCTGATATTTGCATCTTATTTTTTTAGGTTTGCTATGTACTATCGTGGATCCTATAGATGTGGAGGCTCCATTATTGGCCCAAACACCATTCTGACTGCTGCTCACTGCGTCTATGGGCGAGTTTTGTTTATTACATCTGTTCCACGATTTATTATTCGCACACACGCACATACACACACCCCTAGAAAATTTAAAGTCAACCAATTTTTACGCTTGGCCTAATTAAAACATTATTTGTTAAACCATCGAATATATATATAAATATATATATTCAGGGCCGTAGGCTGAGCAAATACCAAAGGGGGGCAGTGGCGGATCCATGATTTCAATGAGGGAGTGAGAAACAGGTGGGTGGGGGAGTGGGTCTGGGGTCATCCCCC